CCTTGTTTTATGTTTCAACGTATCAATCCTGGGCGCGAAACGAATTGTAAGAGGGTGGGCTGGCAAGCAATCCTGAGCTACGAGACCTTGGAGATTGCAAAGAGATCAGAGAAGGTGCTGCAACCCCACAATCTGATAGCGCAAGAGCCTACAATGCTTTTCAGCCGAGAGGTGCTTGGTAGGTTTAGGTTTGCGGGGGTTGTGGGTTTGGTCATTTAGCCTGTCAGTTTTCGGGTTGAACCTGCCTGGCTTTCTGGTTTCAGGTTTAGCGGTTCAGAACCGATGACCAAGTACCTATAGTCTCCATAGTTCCTTTGTTTGGTTTAACCAATATTATATATTGAGGATCCTATAAGGTAACCCCGAAAAGGAACTACAATGGAGACTATAGTTAGGCCTGGTTTCGGGTTGAGTCGAGAGGTGCGTGCACACAGTGTGTAGGGTGCTTGAGTAGCAGCAGCTAGCTGGCTTTTCTTCATGACCTGCTCCGCATGCACAGGTGGTTTCAGCTTTTCAGGATCTCATGGAATCGCGACTTGGCAGCCAACAGAGGGGGGGATGTGGGTCATTCCTTCCCGCCCGGCGCATCTCCGGCCTAGTTTAGGCTTTAAGGTTGACGGTTCAGGGTTTAGCAATGACATTCTTTTTCTCCAGAGGCTCAGCCAGCATTCTCAGTCGGCCTTTGCTGGGGTTTGAGTTGATATACGGCTCCCATCTCAAACGAGGAGCCCAACCCTAGCCCTAGTTGAAATCGAACCCGCCAAACTCATACGAGCCAAGAAATTGTCTCAATCACCCCCAGCCTGGTCCATCCCAACAGATGCAGATGAAATGGCGACAGTCCTGCAGTAGCAGCAGCATTGACATGTTTGATATATTTAGCCTTGATGTTAGCAGTACCAGCCGATAAATCATAGATATGACTAGTTTTCGAAAACAATACCCCGAACGGTGATTCACGCGCATAACACAAGTCATGTTTCACGCTCTTTAAACACGAGCACCTAAAGCCTAAACATCCGACAAGGACTGCAAAACACACAAAGCCACTAAGCATAATGCAAGAAGAACCAAAAAAGATGAATCAAGCATCCAAGCCCTTCGGCCTGCAAGGAAGTTCCCAGTACTCCCCGAGCCGAGAACAAACAGCGACGAGCGGGCGCTAAAACGACCCTGAAAGCGTGGTGTCGACGTTTCAGGGTTAAAGGGCTACAGGACTTCAACTGCAGATCTTTGGGCAGGGTAGCTAGACCTCTCAGTCCTTGTGGACCTACTCTAGGGGCTTAAATAATTACCAATACTATTTTGGTGGTTCCTTATTATAAGTATAGTATAATGGGCCCCAAAATCCTATTCTGATTATTAAGACCGCTTTTTTATGCTTTATTTGTTTTATGGTTTTTTTTACCACGGCAGCAGTTCCCTTTTAGTTCGAGGGCAAAGGGGTGACACAGGCTTTGTAGTATCTGAGTAGCTAGATAGGCCTTGCTGGATCTGTAGAATCCTAGTTCATGGCTTGACTTAGGTGTATGTTCTAGCACGATCTGGAAACCCAATTCCCCTCTAGTTAGGACCATGGTCCTGATCAGGGTATTGTAGTCGCCAACCCTAAATCCTTAGCCATATCGGTCTTCTGAGGTATTTCGTAAACAGAAACCTGGAATTCGTTATGGTTCCCCGGACCTGTAAACCCCAAACACTACTTGTAGCGTTTAGGAGTTGAGGGACCTTGAACCACCCCCCCTGCAGCAATTGATCTACGCATTTAGCGGCAGATGTTCAAACGGAGAGGGTTTGACTCCACAAAAGACCCCAACCCAGCAACAGTGACCACACGAGGATGATAATCATAACAGTATTTGTAAGTCTTTCATGTTATATTCCTAAATTACTGCTGTTCATCGTGCGGGAACCTATATATTGCAGGTTTGGGATGGCGCTAAGACCGCACCGGGAGACTTGTGAATGCATCCAGTAGCAGTATGCCCTTAATTACTGCCACTCCACGATCTAAACACTAGAAAAGAAATCTGAAAATCTACGCCCTAAACTCCAAGCCACTACAACCCGAAATCCCCAAGCCCAAGAAACCAGTAAGGCCCTGTAGAACCCTAATCCCAAAGCTGCGAACATCATGGAGCCCCCCAGAGATGAGAGGCCAGAGGTTCAAGCCTTGGAGCATGTTCTGGGTGTGGATAAGAGCGTGGACAGCGGTTAGATCTTCAAGGTGTTGGGTTGAAGGGTTTAGGGTTTATGGTCTTTAGACCAGAAACGAGACAGCTGTGCAAGACCGCGAATCTGTGAGGATTGTTCTCGTTTTAGGTTATAAGGGTGACGAACAGAACAGCAAACTACATCGCTGAATCACTTTGCTAGCTGAGAGTGGATGGCGCTGTCGCCAAAGCATGCGACGTCGCTGCTGCGCCAGTGTGGAGAGGCAGTCGCGCATGTTTTCCCTAACGGGGGCTGAAGTCGATCCTGGCCTCGGCCTAAATTTTTGATCCCAAAGCATACCACAATCCCAGACCATAAATCCTGAGCCCCGCACCAGAGCAGTCGGAAGCTTCCCGACCGTTCGTTGAACCAGGTATGGGCCATACGGACATACAGGTATGTTATAACACACGGCATTTCGCAACGGATTCATGTCCCCATCAGGCTAGGTCCAATGCCCGAGGTTGTGAGCTATCCTTACACCCTGCAGGACCACCTCCTGATTAACCCCTAAACCCCATTAATCTTGAACCCTAAATTACTGAACCCCCAACCCTAAACCCAAATGATGAAAGGGGTTCGTGCCTTTTAGGGGCCACGTTTTTATATCTCCTGCATCCCAGAAGTTTGTTGGTTATAGATGGTGAATATTCGGGCCATAATCATCAAAATAGGGTTCGGGGGGGGGGGGGTGTATCATACTAGAGTTAGAACAAGCAACCCCCCCAAAAAACTCCGATTCTAACTACTAAGGCCCGTATACATTCTAGTGATCGGGCTTTGGGGCGTCAGGGTTTTGAGTCGCTTCTTGGCCCGTGCCAAACGAGGAGTCACTCCCCGCCCGTGGCGAGCGAAGGCTTCGATCCTTTCGGAGCCAGCGCCTGGAGATTGACGTGCTGCACTGAAGCATGGCAGCAAGACTGGCTTCTCGAGCTTTTCTCTGATGTCCGACCGTAGCCCTCCGGAAATCCTAAACTCGTAAACCCAAAGCCCTGCTACTAGCTCCAGGTTACTCTGGTTTTACTGGACCTTCGGTAGCCTGCGCTCAAAGCTGCCTCCCAAGTCAGTCAGGGTAACTTAGCAGCTGAGTAGGTAGCACTTCCTCTGGGCCAGAGCACTCAGCCGCTAAGGCAATGCGCTTCTCTGTGGCTGGTCCCGGCAGAGTCATTGGGAGGAGGTGCACGAGTCAGTTGCACCAAGCCCCGGTTCTGCTCGCTTCAGTAAAGTCCCTGAAACCGAGGACGCCCGATAAAGTAAGCACAACCTTCCTCGTAGGAGAACAATCCCTTTGAATTAAACCTTAAAGTTCCACTCCGTAGCCGTAGGTTTGTTTTTTGGGTGTGTGTGTGTGTGTCTGTGTCCGTTTGGTTTAGGCTTGTCGTCCCTCAGACGAGAGTGTGTTCAATGCTGGATACGAAGTTGAGGATTTGTGTCTTCAGGTTTGGGACCCCACGCCCAAAACCAAAACCTTGAGCCTCAAGAGTTGGGAGAGTCTCGAATTCATAGTCTGGGTGATTCCCTTATAACCGTCTTAAGTTCAGCAGGTTCCGTTGTGTATAGAATTCGATTGTGGCCTTCAAGCCAAACCCCATACTCAAGGCTTGAGGCTTGAATCCCCGGCAACGGTTTAGGGTTTANNTTTAGGGTTTAGGGTTTGGGGGGCAGTGGGCTCCTAGGGCTCGACCTGGAAGCTTGCACTCTCGAGCTTCTGAGCCTGGAAACCTACTTAAAAGATTATGAGACTTAGTAACGAGGGTTTATAAGCAAGGTAGCTATACTTTTTTGTAAACAAGGCAACTATACTTTTTATACGCAAGGTAACTATACTTATAAATTCTTAGTCAGACTTGTAACTCCAACTGAGGCGCCTCTAACCTCCCATGGTCCTCCATGTAAGAGGTTACGTGGTCCCCACAAGTCCTAAAGCCGCAAGCACAGCTTTGAGCTCTACAGCTGAGTTTGTTGCAATTGTTGTTTGGCTGAACTCCGTTATGCGGAGTCATTTTAATGTAATTTTTCGTTATATATATATATATACACGTACATGCGTCCGTCAGAACACTGATGTGTTATGACATTTCAACTGCTTTGATTTGCGCTTCAAGGAGGCCGGGGGTTCAGAATCTTGGTTCCAGTGGGTCTTGGGTTGGGGTCTACTTCAAAGCAGGTTTCGGGCTTCTAAAGTATGAGGTCCTTGTAAAACGTCTTGAACAGTTAGGTTAACTAGTGTTGTAGCTATCGTTCCACATGTAACATGTATTTTAGTGGACTGTCTGTTCATGAACTAGATGTTTTGGGGGTCCGGGCAATGCCTCAACCTCCCAAGTATGAGTAAGCCATAAGCCATAAGTTTGAAGCAGCCTCCTCGAAATTGGAGGAAAGCACGGCATCGTAAGCCACGACTAGCTGATTATCTGTTCAGGAATATGGAAGCAAGAAGGCCTGCAAACGAAGGTGCTAAATAGGTCCGGCGAGGAACGATGCAATTCCATACAAGGTTTCGAAGTAACTCGGGTTTATTGAAGTCTGCCGGCGTAAGGAACTGATGCAGCTTTTACTTCAGAGCGCCTCTGCGCCAAAAAAACGAAACAAAAAGAAGTTCCACTGGCTTCTCTAGTGCCTGCTGACCTGGTCGCAGACAGGCCTGACGTTACCTCCATGCGTCCAGACATGCATACGCAAACTAAGTCTCTCGCCCATGCAAAAGCTAAGACGTTTAAACTGTGTCTTCGCCTTGTATGATCCTTTTGTCCCAAGTCCAAGTTAAGCTGCAAGTGACTCGGGAGGAGCTTTCTCCAAAAATCACGAGACCGTAATCCCTACCCGACCCATGGCGGATGCAAAACGTGTGGCCGTCATTGGCGGCGGCATCAGCGGCGCCGTTTGCGCCTCGACATTGTGCCGCAACACCTCGTCTGAGGCCTCGTGGATTTGGGGTGGGCTAATTTCCTCGCTGTCAATAGTAACTTTGTAGCCGTTAGTTTGGCTTGGGCCGTTGAGCCCAAGCCTCAAATCCATCATTGCCAGATACGGATTCGGGGGTTGTCGTAGAGAAGTGTTGGAGCAGTGGTTCAGGGTACAGGGTTAGCATTTGAAATATGTTGGTGTGCGAGAATGCTGTATCGTTGCAGGCAGGTGACTGAGTCCGCGAGACTCGTCAGAGAGGAAATGACAGAGATGACTAGGTGATGGTGCTGATTATGGCGGTGATGGGGCGGAGGCACGGGATGGCAGTGATGGTCATCGAGGTTGTGGCAGTATTGGGGGCGCTTGAGGCTGTCGATCATGATGATATAATGATGACCATTATGATCGAGAATGATGATCATGATCAGGGTGGGGATGGTCATGACACCGACCATGGGGATGATGATAATTATGACGATGATGATAATAATAATGATGATGATGGTGATGGTTATGGTGGCGCTTGTTGTGATGGTTAGGATCACTACTCTGACGCCACGGGGTGGCACGCTGGCGAAGCTCATGGTGGACACGTGTGGACATGGTGCTGGTGATGTTTATATCTGTCAGGAGGCCAATGCGTGATTATATGTTGCTGGTTCTGGTGATCATTATGCCCACGCGGCGGTGTCAAACTTGGCGATGATCATGTGGTTGTTGTGGGGCTTGGACTATGACGGTCGAAATGAGCGGAACAAGTGTTGATGGCTTCTGGGCAAGACTGTTCTTGCCAGCTAACTCTTTTTGTTCTGCGAACCGTTCGGCGTGCGGCTGCGCGGCATAATTTTTGTGAACAGTGACTTGTGTTATACATGTTAGGAGCATTTTTGCAAGCAGCGTGTTGCCGTTGGGGTTTCGCGATGTTCGCATGGGTGGCATGTCACAGACGACCCGAGGGCTTCTTCGTCGTTGGTGTCCCTGTCGGTAGATCCCTAACAATAATGAAGCTAGGCTCCTTAGCCTGGGAGCCAAATTCATGGCTCTAAGCGCCCCGTACCCGGAGGTCACCGTTTTCGACCAAGGCACATGGGATGGGAGAGCCTGGACACCTTGGGATTTACAACTTCACAACTCATTTCCAATTCATGCTGCCGGTAGGGGTTGGTTTGGGTTTTCCTGGTTGCTGAGGGGTTGTTCTGGGTCAGCTTAGGCTAAGGCACGACTTGGCGGGCTACAAATTACGACCAAACCTTGGACCACCCAGTTATTTGCACATTCAAAGCCTGTGGCCGCAAAAAACAAGCCTGTGGCCGCAACGATTTTGACACCGATCGTTAGTGTTTGTTTTTCGTGGCCTGGGCAGCCTGTGGCACTTACACTGCTTTTATTGATTGCAACCACTCCAGACTCCACTCCATCAGACTGTCTCGGTTTGCTCATCCCTTCCTCATGCAGCACTCACATTCTGTCGCCGGGCCCCCCTTGAGGTGGAGTGTACACCATATTGTGAATCATAGTCCTACACCATGGAGCACTCTTTTTTGCGAGCCTGGCAAACTCTGGCGGCATCTCGTTCTAGTTATTACAAGCAATATTCAAGAGCTAGTTCGAAGTGCTCTGAGGCTGATTCAGAAGGGTTCTGGGTTTAAGGGGTTTGACGGTTGAGGTTTCAGGGAGATTCTATGAAAGATTTGCGGTAGGAGGATGGTCAACGTCATAGTCGTTAGTTTCAGGAAGATGGGCTTCAAGCTGCGCTACTAAGTATCTGACAGTCAAGACAAGCAATCCCGAACACCTCCGCAGAAAGTTCAGTATCCCTCAGTGTAGGTTTGCTTGAGCTTTACATCTTGGATCCCGACTAGGGTTTATATATATATATATAGATAGATATAGATATATATATATATATGTACATATATATATATATAATCATATTTTTTGGTAAGGATTATATCATTATCTCTTAATCAAAGGGAAATGGGTGTCGCTGGGTCATCGCGATTCATCTGCCAGAGGACGCCAGCTCGGCGGCCGTTGTGGCCACCGCCGCCGCTCGGCCTCTTTAAAGGGCACCTATGGGTTTAGGGTTTAGGGTTTAGGGTGGAAGGGACTATAGAAGCCCATTTCGCCAGTGACAGGAGCTGAGCTTGCAAGTTTTCAGGCATAGTGAGTGAGACCAAGATCCAACTTCCGGAACCCCTAAGCAACATGGAGTCTTTGAGCAGGATGATCCTCATTTCAACAAGGGCCCTGACGTACAGTACCCCTGTCTTGGGAAGGAATTGGCTTAGACGCATCCGCCTTTATAACTTAACAAGTGCTCTCAAGTCATCAGGGTTTAAGCTAGAAGAAGAAGTGCTACGCTTGTTCACTTGTATTGCCTAGTGACAGGGAATGGGGCTCCCTCTAAAGGCGTGAAGGTTCAAGAGTTCATCGGATTCGATGAGTCCTAGGTTCTTAACTATTGCATTGGCTGGCGCACGCTGCGGCGGGTCTAGGTGGGGGTAGGGTTTCGCGGCTTATGAACTTAGAACGTCAACCTCAAAAATCCCAAACCCCAATCATTACTCTCAAAGCCTTGAATCCGAACACCGGTCGAGCTGATGATGAACTTTGAATATGACATGTCAGAACTATCAGGTTTCTTGGGGTATAGGGTGTCGTTTCAGGGTTAGGGTTTAGGGTTTAGTTCATACAAAATAGCAGCAGAGCTGGTGTAGGTGCTGGGATGGTAGCGAGACCGCGTCGCGCTCGCAGCATTTAGTGACACTCAGGCTAGAGCCGTGGCACAACATGTCAAGGATTGTATCAGGGGTGTTTCAATTTGCGCTTTTGATTTTCAGTGCCGAAGCCTCACAGCGGGCTCCAGCTACCTAAAACACTGCGTTAGTGGGTTACATCTTGTAAGGTTAATCAGCTATCATTCAGGGACCTGGGGCGCTTGGGATTAGGGTTTAAGGTTTAGGGTTTAGGGTTGAGGGTTTTCGTTTAGGGCTTAGGGTTTAGGTTTAGCAGCATGAAGAATCAGGGTTTAGGGCTTTCAGGATGCGCGAAGCCGCCGTTGCTGTCACTGGCCAGGTGTCGCAGCGGACGGCACATACCCGGCGCCTGTGGATGCAAGCGCATTCGCTTTCGACCATGGTTGCCAGCACCTCGGGCTGCTATAACATGAAGGTTACAGATTGAGGTTCAAGCTTTACCTTAGGGAATTTTTTTGAGGCGATGTTGAAGCATCCTCGAACGCAAACCCTTCGACTCGCGATTGGGGGTTGCGGGCTTGTTCGCTGTGTAGCATCAAAACATTCCCAGTCACTGAAATCATGCTCAAGAACTTAAAGCCTAACTCCGAATCCAACGAAGCTGAATCAACAAGCTGTGCCTAAAGCTTTCCAGGCGACTCACAGGTGCGCACGACCCGATGATGTCTGTTGCTGCTCCAATGCCAATGCGACTGCTACTGCGGCTTTAGTCGGCTATAAATGCTTGTTCCAGATCTCGTTAGATTTGACAAAAGAGAATCCGTTAGCCAAGCGTGGGCTCAAAACAAGACACTCTGCCCCTCCAGGTGTTGACTCGATTAAGTTTTCAGGGTCCACTCCGGCCAGATCCTGCAAGTCTGGGTTTAGGGTTTAGGTTTACCTTAAGAACCCATTAACCTACAAAAAAGTGGGTTTTGGGTTCTTAAGGTAGGGTTTAGGGAGGATGACCACTGGAGACATGGCGACACACGTACCTGCACAGGTTCTGCAGGATCTTAAGGACATCCGAGGCTTGAAACAGTTGTTGAACCACCGGGCACGGAATGTCCTCAGGGGCACATGCAGCATCGCAGCGTCCTCCAAGGTCTCTTCGTGGAACAGAAGCAGTGTTGGTCAGTGTTGGTGGCGCGGAGTTCACTGACAGCTTGCATTCGATGATGATTGGGCCGCCGCCCGAGAGCTGGAAGAGGAAGAAGGCTAAGAAGGCCTGCGGATGAGCCTGGCCTGCTTCATGTGCTGCAGGGACAGCTTTTCACAGCACGTGAAGCAGGCCAGGCTCATCTGCAAGCCTTTGTCTTCTGGCGGGCGGCGGCCCAATCACCATCGAATGCGAACTTGTCAATGAGTCCCGCGCAACCAACACTGCCTCCGCCTCGGACTCCAGGAAAAGAATGCCCTCACGGTTCAGAGTGCGGCTTCTGCTCCACGAAGCGACCTGGGAGGACACTGCGATGCTGCATGTGCCCATGGACCTTCATCTCGTCTTGTCGCCCCTGGCTGACATCACCCAAGACCAAGCAAAGGAGGTAGTAGCCGCAGCTCGGAATGGCACCATTGTGGAAGTTGAGCAGATGCTGCACAAAGGCTTCGAGATGAACTTGCTTGACTCACAAGGCCGCACAGCCTTGTGCATGGCATCTTCTGCAGGTCATGTCGTGATCGTCCGCTTGGTGCTTGAGGCCGAGGCCAGCGAGAATGCTGCAAGCTACGATGGTCGCTCTGCCTTGCATGCGACATCGTCTGTGGGTCATGCGGGTGTCGTCCAGCTGCTGAGAGTGGCCGCTGCCAACACTGATGTGCCAGACCACGGCGGTCGCACATTTTTGTTGACGGCATCTGATGCAGGTCGTGTGCAGATCGTCCGCCGGCATGCTACTGACAGCCGAGGCCGAAAAGACATGGCAGACATAGGCGTCTTCAGGTCATACCGAAATCGCGCGCCAACAAGGATGTTTCAGACGATTACATTGTCACAGCTGTAACAAGTGCTTCCAGCGAAGGGTTTGTCGAGATCGTCGGCTTGCTTCTGGAGGCCGGTGCCGGCAAGGAATTGGTGGACAGCCACCGTCGCGCAGCTTTGTCAGCAGCATCTTCTGCAAGCATCGTGGAGACCGTTCGCCTGCTCATGGAGGCCGGTCCTACCCCAGAAACACAGATGTGGCAGACTGCGAAGGTCGCACAACTTCGTTGAAGGCACGGTCCAGGGGTACTACATGTCATGCGAAGATTGCTGTTGGAGGCCCGTGCCAATAGAGGTGGCAGACAAGACCGGGCACACTGTCACACTGCTTTGATCGCGGCTGGTGGCAAAGGTCATGTTGGGATCAGTCGTTTGTTGAGGTAGGCTGTGGCACTGATGTGGCACAAAACTATGGCGTCCACCTTTGACGTGGCTTGTCCGCTTGCTGCTTGAGGCCGGCACCTGATAAAAGACCAAATCGGGCAAGAAAGCAGAACAATCGAGCGCAAGTGGCCTCATGAGGTCAAACTGGTTCGGTCGTCGCAGTCGGAGCCCCAGTGGCATTCGCAGTCGTCGTCACAGCAGCAGCAGCAGCAGCAGCAGGAGAATTACGACTACGACGAGGACGACGACGACTGCTATTACCCCGGACTGCTGGACTCTGAACAAATCTAGTACGACGTTTGTACGACAGCTCTCAGTGCGTGTCCGATTTTTGTCCAGTGCTCCAGCTTCAACGAGCTCAACCTGTCAACCACCCCGAATCTCGGAGAACGCGAAAGCCTTTTTCACACTCCACTATACTCCAGACTCGCATGAGCACGAATCAAGTCGAGATAAGGGGCTTAAAGGGTTTGCGGACAAGTTTATCAGGGCCTATATCAAGCTGCCCGGTTAAATTCCATAAGGGCTAAATTAGAAAGCCTCCAGGCTATAACCACGATATCACCAGATTGCACCTAAAACCAGTTTTTCCACTAAGCAGTAATGATCCCAAGCCCGCACCAAATAACCCGAAAACCCTGCTCCCACAGTGCGAATCCTTTGGCTCTATGAAACCCGAATCCCGTAACCCGTAACCCTAAACGCCAAATCCTATGTCCCTTTAACCCGTGTCGTAACCCCAAGCCCTACATACCACCCGTAACCTTACACCCCCCAAGCCCCAAATGCCTAAACCCTGGCGATATCTTTAAGAGCTCCAGCACCTTCGAGAACGTGTTGGACTTATAGAGCACCTATAGAAGCCTACCCTCACAACCCGTCATGGTCCCAAACCCCCAAACCCCATAGACCCTATAATCTAGGGGCCTTTATTGTTAGAATACGGTTCTGGGGCCCATTATACTATAAGTTAAGTATAATAAGGAACCCCCCAAAATAGTAATTGGTAATTATCTCGGCCCCTTTTTTGTGCACCCCAAAAGAAATTTCCAGGTTCTTCCGTGCCGATGATCCGCGCTTCCGCTCGGAGCTTCTGGAGAAGTGGAAGGGTCGGGGGCTGGCACCTCGAGCAGCGCTCCTTTAAAATTTGCCTTATAAGATTATAGAACATACGGTTTCGGGCTCCTTATCATGATTTCCTTGTAGACGTACATAAGTGCTTCGGAACGGCAGGTTTTATTTGGGGCTCAGAGATGTTGAGGGCTTGCAGGGTATAGGGTTCTCGGAAGGTGGCTGGAAGGGCCCTATGAGGGTTCTGTCAAGGGCTTCCTGCATGAGGCGTTTCATAGGGCGCTTTTCTGCACAAGTTCGACACAGGTACCATAAAGGTGCTACAGAGAGTTAGTGTTCTGGGTTCCCTAAACCCTAAACCGTGTTTGTTCAGCGTTTCATAAGGGTTGTGTAATTTCGGGGTACTGTTGGGGGTCTCGGGTGCGGGTTGAAGGTTCCTGTAAGCAAAAAGCAACATAGGGGCCTTACTAATGAGATTAGGGTTTTGGGGCCCATTATACTATAGTTATAACAAGGAACTCCTAAACTAGTATCGGTAATTATCTTGGCCCCTACATTAGGTTCCTTTTCGCGCGTAGGATGCAGGGTCTGGATTAGGCTTCCAGGGCTGGGGGTTGCCGCAGCGTCGAGTGTTTACAGGCTGGAACTACAGGGTTCCGGGGTTTAGGCCTTAGGGGGAGGCTCTGAAGTGCAGTGGGTTTAGGGTTTAGGGCATGAGAGCTGGATTTCTATGTGCTCAGACATTCACACAAGTGCTGCCAAAACGGGGGAGGCTAGGTGGGGTTTTTAATTTTGGATGCAGATCGGCTCCAGTCTTTGGTGAATGGGTTTTAAAGAGCGAGGGAATGTAGGCGAAAATGGTGTCGGCTCGGGGATCCTACGTTTGGATCCAGGGACCTCGTCAGTATGGGTATATAAGTACAGTACCTTCACTACTTGATTGCATCTGTTTCCAGCATACGAGTAGTTACCCGAACTATATGCCTATTTGCGAAGTCCCCTAATCCCTCAGTCAGCTCCGAGTGCACGAACTGCAAGCTTTGCAGTTATACATGCAGGCTGACCTCAGAGGGTGCAGGAGGCATTGCGAAGGAACGCCGGCACCTCCATGCTGCTACCCTACATTGGTAACCCTAAATCCTAAACCCTAAATTGGCGTTAGGGGATATATGATGTATGGATTGACTGCTCAGCTGCAGCACTGACTGCCGTTCTAGCAAGCACTTTGATTCTTACGCCCTAAGCCTCAAACCTGGGCAAAGCCTATAAAGTCTGTTAGCCCGAATCCCGATCTTACCAACCCCAAAACCCAAACTGGGCCACAACCGTATCCTGTCGGGCTGAGGTAGAAGAGTGGGTGGGACACTCGACTGCAGCAGTTACGGGAGGAAAGGCGCCAGGGCATGACGGTTTAGGGTTTAGGGTTTAGGGTTTAGGGTTTAGGGTTCAGGCATGTAGGACAAGGCATTCGGTTGGCTCAGGGAATTGCTGGGTCTTTTCTGCTCAGCTTTAGATTTGTCTGCACACCCTAAACCCTAAACCCCTAAACCCTAAACCCTAAACCCTAAACCCTAAACCCTAAACCCTGATGTTTGCATCTGGTACCTTGGGGAGCTCAGTCGTATCTACCATGTGGATGGCGATTCGGACCAGTGTACGGCCAGCCCACGCAAGGAGGGGCAGCAAGATGTTGAGTAGAATGTATTCTTGCGATGTTCGGATCTGCGTGCACCACAGTAAAGCATAATGTCGAGGCTCTTACAATCTTATATGTTCTTCAGGCACTATTTACAATGGGTGTCTGACCATCCTCGTTGTCGTCATCATTATCAGCATGATCTCTCAGAACGATGCATGCGATGCCAGCATTTACAGTGATAAGAGGGGTTCCAGTGGGCCGTGATAAAAATTCACAACAGTTCGATCAAGAAGAAGCATAACCCCACTCATTACTAGAAACCCGAAACCCAGACCCTGAACCCCAAACCCTAGTCATCACCAGAAACCCTAAACCCAGACCCTAAACCCCAAACCCCAGTCACTACCAGAAACCCTAAACCCCAAACCCCAGTCACTACCAGAAACCCTAAACCTAGACCCTAAACCCCAAACCGAGAGGGAAAAAAACCCAAAACCCAGACCCTAAACCCCAAACCGAGAGGGAAAAAAACCCAAAACCCAGACCCTAAACCCCAAACCGAGAGGGACAAAAACCCAAAACTCCAGTCACGAACCAGAGCAGCCAAGGCAACTTCGGAAAGCTTGGCCAGGTACCTTGTGAGGGCTCAGGGTTGCATTGGGTGGCAAAGCCTGTCTTAGGGGTTTAGGGTTTAGGGTTTAGTTGGGAGTTTCAGCAAACAGGGCCTGGGGGAGTGTTACATGCGTAGGGTTTACGGTGTTTACAGCGTGAGATGGGGGCTTATGATTACATGTGCGTGTCAGCGTATACGAACCCACATCTCAAACGTAGGATCCGTACTCCAATGAATGTCTAAGGACCCCGAAATCAGGTATCCCTACTTGTACGTAAGAAGCCCCAAAATCTCGAGGCTTCGGATGCTGACTCCTCCGCATGGGACTTACCTTCACCCTAGGAAAGCCTACCTTGTTTAGGTTTCCTTGTCTTGATTTCTTTTGGAACCTTCGAAAAACCCCTTTTAATTCCTTTAGAACCCTAAAGAAAAGGTAAAGACTTACCTTGTTTAGGTTTCCTTACAAGTACCAAGATTTCCTGTAGAACCCAGTCCTTAAACACGGCGGGTGAGGCCCGAGGTCCCAGGGACGAGGTCGGGGAACAGCCTAGAGCATCTCTGCCCGAAGGAAGGGTCGAGGGTTTAGGGTTGAGGGTTTAGGGTTTAGAAATCAACCCTAAACCCCAAACCCCCAATTCCCAAACTCTAAACCCCTAGAGCCAAAAAATCAAATCCCAAGAATCCCCAAAATCCCAACACCCCGAATCTAAAGCCCAGACCCGAAACCCTGAACCCCAGAGCCCAAAATCCCCAAATCCAAGACCCCAAACCCAAAAACCCCAAGGCACGCCAACGATTCTGGTTGGCTTTGTTGTTGGCTCTACCCTAGGGGGTTTCGGGTTTAGGGGTTTAGGGTTTAGAGGTTCAGGGTTTAGGGATTTAGGGCCTACCCTAAGCCTCCAGTTGCCCAAAGACTGGGTCACCAGGCATAAGGTTCAGGGTTTCAGGCTTTAGTTACCCTGTTTAGTAATTCTTGAGCTATTGGGCTACGCAAATATATATATATATATATATATATACATACATACACATGCTTAGTAACCAACTTTTCTGGGAACTGGAGCCCGTGGGTCTTAGGGTCTATTATTAGTTAGTTTAGGATTTAGGGTTTAGGGTGATTAGTTTTTGTGTATTCAGTCTTTTCAGGGAGTGTGCTTGGTTGCTGTAGGATGTGAATTCTCGAGATGTGCCGCCTTTGGGCCAGCCCTCAACTTCCATAAACTGGGTTGCTGTCAAGGAACTTAGAGTAATTTAGTTTTTCAAGGAAAGCTGTATAGCCCCACTATGGTAACTTAAGTTAGGCTCTCTAACAGCAACCAGTAAACCCTTTATTTTTGTATCCTACGTAGCCCTACACCCTGACTTCGATAGAGGCTTGGCGCGCAGCGCTGGGCCCACCTGAGTCCCAAACCATGAATATCTGCGGCAATTCCCAAATCCCTCGTATCAAAGGAGTCAAACAAAACCCTTCAAACCCCAAACCCTGACCCCTCAAAAACCCGAAACCCCAAAGGCACTATGCACTAATACAGGGGTCCCGAATGCCATTCTTAAGGTCTCTTCGTTACCATTATACGATGAATATAGCCCCCCCCCCCCTCCGGAAAAATGTTCTGATTAACAAGGCCTCTAACTGTGCTCTATCCGTCCGAAACCCTAAACCCACCCGATAAGCCCTACCTTGAACTGCCATGACGGACCTACTTTCCGGCGGTTCTTATTGTAAAGCTTAACTAGGGGCCCTGCCCAGAAGTAAGCTTTGGTAGGTTAAGGTCCCGAAACCCTATAACCCTAAACCCTAAAGCTTGCAGTTTGCTAAACCCTAAACCCTAAACCCTAAACCCTAAACCGCAAACCCTAAACCCCCGAGGAAGATGAAAGCAGCAAGGCCGACTTCTTCGGATTCCCGGACCGGCCGCCGTTCTACTGCGCCCTAGGCCAGCCGGTTCAGGGTTTAGGGTTTATGGTTTAGGCCAGCCCGGGATTTTCTGGTTTCTGGTTCCGGAGTGGTAAACAAAGCGGTGATATAATGCTAGTATAGGAATGTATTTCTAGTTTTTACATATATATATATATATGAAATATGTGTATATACATGTATAACAGTAGTTTATATAAGTGTCTTACTTTCACTGCTTTTGGGGGACCTGTTCTTTGAAGGAACTACTACGACATGAGAATTGACTGTTTTTCCCTGTTTATGTTAAGCCCTGTGTTCGGGGCTCGAAGGAGAATAGCTCAATATTTACATGTACCCGATCTTACTCTGTTTGTGTCGTGGTTCTATAGTGTTTCTACAAGGGTTTCGGGTGTAGACCCAAGTCTTAAGCTGCACGTTGTAAGATTTTAATTTTGGGCTTGAGGGGTCAGGGTTTTGGATTTCGGGTTCAGGATTCAGGGTTAGGTTTCACAGTGCTCGAAAATGGCTTTGCAGGTTGGTGGCAATCACAATCGGGAGCCTTGCACGGGATCTTTTTCTGAGGGAGCCCCGAAACCCCAATGCCTTGACCCTGGACGTATGTTTGTCTTTGTTCCAGTCAAAGAGCCACTCGTTCTCCTAAGTGGCCAGAACAGGACCGCCTGCCTCTTGGCATTGTTGGAGGAACCGTGTCCAGCTGTTCATGACAGAATCTGAACGAGCTGGCTTCAACACTGACCAGGTCCCTTAAGAGCTACTGAGTGCGCATCTATGCACCCTAAACATTCGCGTCGGAATCCCAAGCCTGTTTGCTGCGTTTAGACGCCGCTATGTCTCAACGAGGCGGGATGAGCTCTCTCCCAGCCGCGCTTTTGGAGGTTCGCACATTGCAGCTCTCACTAATGATTGGGCCGTGGTGTAGTAGTGGTGTTTAGTAACCGGGTTTTGGGCCGGAGGCTGTTGGATAGCTTGGGGCGGTCGGTAAACCCAAAGCCTAAACCCTCCCGTCTGTGGTTTATAGCATGCCACCCTAACCCCCAGGTACCTACTATATTGGGTACCATAGAGTCCCTAAGGCCCTATATAGTAGGTACCTGGAGGGTTAGGGCCAGTTGGGTACTGGGGCCCATGTATCATGCGCTTTTCGCCTCAAGGAACTGATCCGGTAGTGTTATCTCCAGCAAAACCCTCGCAGGGAGATCTTTACCTAAACACGCCTAATGTAGGAGCCTCAAGAACTGCCCATGCGATTTTTTTTGGGGGGGTTCGTTTTTAGAGCTATACTATAAAGGGACCCAGAACCCTATTCTAATTACTAAGGCCCCAATGTTAGAGTTACCTTACCTGGGGGCTTCCAGAAGTTGGGTGGACTTTCGGCGGTTGTGCTTTGTGGTGTGAGGGACTCATGGCTCCCCAGCCCGACGCCGCCATAACCCGAAGCCCCCACAGCAGAAGTACTGGGCCTCGGTGTAGAGTTTAGGGTGTAGACTTCAGGGGCGAGGCAATGCAGTCCCCCAGGAACATCAGAACAACAATTAGTAACAGTCATTGAACCCCCTGAGTTTCTGAACTGCCTATGTCTGGGCATGGCCTCAAACTGGCGTGCAGCTTGTTCTCATCCTTTGCAGGAGTTATGGTTTAATAGGCCCTCAACCCTAAACCCCTAAACCCTAAACCCTAAACCCCTAAACCCTAAACCCTAAACCCCTAAACCCTAAACCGTCAAAGTAAGCCTGTACATCCCGACGCCAAGGGCTCAATAACAAGCCAAACCTGAGCTCTTGCAGATCGAAGCCCCATGTCTTTTCGCCCTCAAACCCTAGAAATCTCCAAGCATATATATATATATATA